AATCTGCTCCTCCTCTTCTCTCCCAGGGCGACCTGCCACTTAGCCCTCAAGCCTTGGCTGGGCTGCCATTTCCTTCGGCAGCCTTTCCCAAGCTGGCTTAGCTGCCTGCGTGTTTTTTCTTAGCCTAACACTTCCTACACTGTATTGTGGCGTCTGATTCCTCATTAGACTCTAAGCCCTGTGAGTATCAGAACTTTGCCTTATTCAGAACTGTCTCTCAAAAGCCAGAAGCAGTATTGTGACACAGTGTGTACTCAGTTTTTGTTATATGAACGAACTTAGAAAGAACATGATCTGGAGTTGATAATTATTAAAGCTGGGTAATGGATACAGAAGGTTTTATTATGCTACTTTTCTTCACTTTTATGCATATTTGACATTTTCCATAACAAAAAGATTTAAAAATATATTTTTTATTGATTTCAGAGGTGAAGGAAGAGAGAGATAGAAACATCAATGATCAGAGAGCATCATTGATCGGCTACCTCATGCAGGCCCCACACTGGGTATTGAGCCCACAACCTGGGTATGCGCCCTGACCGGGAATCGAACCATGTCCTCCTGGTTCATAGGTCAACGCTCAACCACTGAGCCTTGCTGGCTGGACCATAACAAAAAGACTTTAAATAATACATTATTTTAAACACTGTATCTTATCTCTTCTTAAATTCCAATAGATAAGAAACTGTGAAGCCAAAATAGTGTTTCATAAATGAATATTAAAACATAAATACAGGCTCATTGTATACCCACTGAATATTCCCATATGAATCACGTACACTTAAAAGGGGGCTGCATGTATTTTGGTAAATGGAGTGAACAATGTAAAGATGATAAAATATATATATAAAAAAGAAAGAAACTGTGGGATAGAACCTGCCACAGTCCATGTGCGAGCCTCGTGGGAATGGGGTTTGTAAAATGGGTGTTGAGAGCGGCCTGATGCAAAAGGGAACGTGGGCAGGACTTTCTTGAAGAGCCTGCACTCTATTTGTTCCCATCAGCCCCGGGACGGATCCACCAATTTCATGCTGGTGGGGCACAAAAATAAACAAACAAAATGGCAAGGACAAGGGAAGACATTTTTCTGTCCAAACTGGACAATTTGTGACAGGGCTCAGGATGGCTGCATGGGCTTTGTAGCTTTTCCAGTGGTTCCTAATAAACCGGGCTTTGTGTGAGCCTTGCTGAGGCTGTGCCGGCCCTGTTATTCTAAAGCTTTCTCCCTCTCTGGCCTGGCTGCCCTGTGAACTTGTTAGCAGTCATTGATTTCTTTGAGTTGGACTTGACTGAATTAAATCGCTTTGCTTGGCATTTTAAAAGGGGTGTTTTTCTTGAGGAAGATGGAGTTTGGTACTGCCTTGCAAGTACACATTTAGGGGCCATTCAGGATTCATAACATTAAATTCCTTCAAGGCACAGGAGACATTTGGCTAAAGAAAGATCTTAACAATAACTTTAGCTTAAAGAGGTCATGAGGAAAATTATTATCTTTAAGGTTTCACCCACATGGTGGGAATAAAGCAGGGAAATAATGCATTTCTATCTACTAATCAATTGGCCAATCAATATTGTCTGGGCTCTTCCCATGTGCCCAGTAGGCCTGAGGCCCTGCCTGTAGGTTGAAATTAACTAGGCTAACAACTGTTGTGGGATAAACTGACTGCCAACCAAACACATGGGGTCCAGGGGTTCCCCAGGACAGCAGCGCAGGATGAATGGGAAGCCTGGATCCCTGGGTGCAGATTGACTTTTTTTAAAAAAAAATCCAAAGTATCTGATTAAAAACAACAACAAACGAAATTATATGTGACAGGTATGTATTATGGTCTTGATTTTATAGACGATAAAACCAAACTCAGAGAATTAAACCCAACTTGGATCTGAATTGTAAAAGCAGTTTTTCCGGAGACCATTTGTATCTGGGTACACTGAAAGGAGGTACTTACTGAACTTTTTCGGTTGAAAAAAGATGTTTTCAAGTCATCAGATTTCAGTTAGTTACAATCGAGTTTCAACTTTTTACCAGTTTGAAATCCTGCAGTGCTCAAATTTCCACCAGATGTCACCGTTTACTACCCTATCATTGCCTTCAGTCTTGCTTCTAAAAAGTATAAGGGAGCCCAGCCTGTGTGGCTCCTATGGAGACCTATGAACCAGGAGGTCACAGTTTGATTCCTGGTCAGGACACATCCCTGGGTTTTGGGCTTGATCCCCAGTGTGGGGCATGCAGGAGGCAGCTGATCAATGATTTAATAAAAATATATTTTAAAAAAGTAAAAAGTATTAGTCAGAGAAAGACAAGTATCATATGATCTCGCTCATATGTGGAATCTAAGTAACAAAATGAACTGATGAATGGAGTGGATCCAGAGACATGGAAGCATGG